CGGGGAGGAGGGGGCTGGAAAGGAAAGGGGAGGGAGGGGGGGGAAAGAGATAAAAAAAGAAGAAAGGGAGGAAGGAGGAGGAAGAAGGGAAAAGAAGAGAGGGAGGAGGAAAGGGGAGGGGAGAGGAAGAGGAGGAAAAAAAAAAAGGAAAGCCAAGGGGGGGGAAGGAGGGGCGGAAAAAGGAAAGAAAAGGAGGGAAAAGAGAAAGAGGGAAAGGAAGGAAGAAAGAAGAGGACGAGGGGAAAAAGAAGAGGGGGAAGGAGGGAAAGGAGGGGGAGAGGAGAAGAAGAAGAGGGAAGCGGGGAGGAAGAAGGAGAAAAAAGGAAGAAGAGAAAGAAAAAAAAGAAGAAAGAGAAGAAAAAGGGAAGGAGGAAAAAAAAGAGAGGAGGAGGGGAAAGAGAGAGAGGAAGAGAGAGAAGGGAGCCCGAGGGGACGCCGAGGAGAAGGGAAGGGGAGAGAAAAGAAAGAAGGAGGAAAAAAAGAAGACGGGGGAAGAAGAAAAAAAACGGGAACGGGGGGAAGGGAAGGGAAAAGAGAGGAGGGGGGGAAGGAGAAGGGAGGGGGAAGAGGGAAAGGGGAGGAGGAAAAAGGAAGAGAGGAAAGAGAAGAGAAGAAACGGGGGGGAAGAAAGAGGGAAGAGAGAGGAAGGAGAAAGAGGGGAGAAGGGGAACGGGAGAAAAGAAAGGGAGAAAGGGAGGAAGAGGAGAGAAGAAGGGGAGAAAGGAGGAAAGAAGGGAAAAGAAGAGCGGAGGAGGAGGGGGAGAAAAGAAGAAGAAGAGGAAAAAGAGAAAGAAGAAAGGAGGAAGGAGGGAAAAGGAGAAACGGAAGAAGGGGAACCGAAAGGGAAGGGAACGAGAAAAAAAGAAAAAGAAGAAGAAGACAGGAGAAAAAAGAAGAAGAAGAGAGAAAAACAAGAGGAGAAAGGAGGCCGGGGAGAAGAAAGGAAGAAGAGAAGGAAGAAAAAAAGGAAAAAGAGGGAGAGGGAAAAAGAGAGGGAGAAGAAAAGAGGGGAGGGAGAGAAAAGAGGAAAAAGGGGGGAAAGAGGAGAAGAAAGGAAACGGAAAGAACCGGAAGAGAAGGAGAGGGAAGAAAGGGAGGAAGGGAAAAAAGGGGGGGGGAAAGAAGGAAAGAGGAGCCGGAAAAGAGACGAGGGAGAAAGGAAAGAAAAAGGAAAACGAGGGAAA